AAAACCTCCCAAGACACAAAAGTCCAGGGCCAGATGGCTTCCCAGGGGAATTCTATCAAACGTTTGAAGAAGAAACCATACCTATTCTACTAAAGCTGTTTGGAAAGATAGAAAGAGATGGAGTACTTCCAAATTCGTTCTATGAGGCCAGCATCACCTTAATTCCAAAACCAGACAAAGACCCCACCAAAAAGGAGAATTACAGACCAATATCCCTGATGAACATGGATGCAAAAATTCTCAACAAGATAGTAGCCAATAGGATCCAACAACACATTAAGAAAATTATTCACCATGACCAAGTAGGATTTATCCCCGGGACACAAGGCTGGTTCAACACTCGTAAAACAATCAGGGTGATTCATCATATCAGCAAGAGAAAAACCAAAAACCATATGATCCTCTCATTAGATGCAGAGAAAGCATTTGACAAAATACAGCATCCATTCCTGATCAAAACTCTTCAGAGTGTAGGAATAGGGGGAACATTCCTCAACATCTTAAAAGCCATCTACGAAAAACCCACAGCAAATATCCTTCTCAATGGGGAAACACTGGGAGCCTTTCCCCTAAGATCAGGAACAAGACAGGGATGTCCACTCTCACCACTGCTATTCAACATAGTACTGGAAGTCCTAGCCTCAGCAATCAGACAACAAAAAGACATTAAAGGCATTCAAATTGGCAAAGAAGAAGTCAAACTCTCCCTCTTCGCTGATGACATGATACATGGTACATAGAAAACCCAAAAGCCTCCACCCCAAGATTGCTAGAACTCATACAGCAATCTGGCAGTGTGGCAGGATACAAAATCAATGCCCAGAAATCAGTGGCATTCCTATACACTAACAATGAGACTGAAGAAAGAGAAATTAAGGAGTCAATCCCATTTACAATTGCACCCAAAAGCATAAGATACCTAGGAATAAACCTAACCAAAGAGGTAAAGGATCTATACCCTAAAAACTATAGAACACTTCTGAAAGAAATTGAGGAAGACACAAAGAGGTGGAAAAATATTCCATGCTCATGGATTGGCAGAATTAATATTGTGAAAATGTCAATGGTACCCAGGGCAATAAAACATGTAAATGAAATTCTTATCTCAGGTCTGCTTCTGGGAGAACTCAGCATAGTATAGTGTGTTTTTAAATCAGAATATAAATGAGAAACCACTTACCTGGAGATGCTCAGCATTTGTTTTATTTATTTATAAGATGTACTAATACTACTAAGTGGATAAAAGCAACTATTAACATCCACATTTTAGTGATGAAGTTCAAAGAGTTCATACAGATAATAGGTTGCCACAATGGAATTTAAAATATGGTATGTTCTGATCCCCGAGCTAAAGTTTTTAACTGATGCACTGTATTTCTTCACCTTAAACAACTACTGGCTCTGAAGGAGAAAAATGAAATATTGATTTAGTCATAGTCATTTACTTTTCTCTAAATTTTTATAAAGAAAAATAGAAAAGATTGAACCACAAAATATATGAGTCACATAATAATTTTAGGAATTATGGATAACAGCATTGATTGTAGTATAAAAACTTAAAAGCATTTATATACAGACTACTTAGCTAATAGCAAGGTGGCATTTACATAAAGTACAAAAAGAGGCTGAAATTAATCAGTGTAGATAAAAGTTAAGAGGGTGTAACTTTTAGATTACTTACTTGGAAGGGGCATGAATGGAGCAATTCAGATGCTGAGAAAAAACATTTATTGACCTTGCTTGTGTTCTTTTAGTGATAATCAATCATGCTGTGTAGTCACGATTTGTGTCTTCTGTGTGTGTTTGTTATACCTCACTTAAAATATTACTTTAAAAATAAGATAGCAATGTTTTTTTTAGTTAATTTAATATTTGCCTCAAAAATTTTAGCTGATTGCAACAATGGGCTAGGTCATGCACTAATGGTGACATAAATTTATAGTGAAAATGTGTTTTATAACTAAAAAATATATATTGAGAAGGAGCTTGGCATTGTACCATGCACTTTACATGTATTAAAATTTTATAGTCTCTTTCAAGACAAAGTTTAAATCTAGATGAAAAGAGAATCATGTAAAGACACTTATAAATTTTTTTAGAAACCACTTATAAATTTTTTTAGAAACCATTTTAGGGATCCCTGGGTGGCTCAGCGGTTTGGCACCTGCCTTTGGCCCAGGACGCCATCCTGGAGTCCCGGGATCGAGTCCCACGTCGGGCTCCCTGCATGGAGCCTGCTTCTCCCTCCTCCTGTGTCTCTGCCTCTCTCTCTCTCTTTGTCTATCATAAATAAATAAATAAATCTTTAAAAAAAGAAGAAATCATTTTAGACATATATCTCAGTTGCTATGTCAATGAAGATGAGAATTTTTATTTCACGTAAAAACCTATAATTCAACTTATTATTGCCAGAAGAATAGGTCAATTCTCAATAAAAGAAAGACCCGCTCTTCCCCAGCTTGTTGCAAATGAATGAACCCAAACCTTTAACACTAGCTCAAACAAAATGAATAATATTAATTTAAAATAAACTTGCTTGATGAGAATAAAATATGTTTTATTTTACACTTGGATTAGACAGATGAGCTGTATCATACCAGACATACATTATTTTAAGCTTCAGAAGTTGATTTTACTGAGCAACATTTTAAATTATTCTCTTATCCTGTATTAAGGGTTCCAGAGTAACAAACATTTTTGTTTTAGTATTCACTACCCTGAGATTTCTAGCAAGCTAAAACATACTATACTGTTAATAGCAACTCATGGTCTGGATACACTTGATGATAAGCCTTAATCTGTGTCGTCTATCTCTCTGGCTGACGTTGAACCCAATTCTACATCTCCATATGTTAGACAGAATCTGGAGATAGAAATGAAACTTCTCCAAGTGGCTACATGAGGCTTAGTGTGTCTCTTAGACATAGTCCTGCAACTCCCAAAGTTCTTCCACACTACTAATATCTTCTGTAGAAGCTCCAAATTTAACACATCACAAGCTAGGTATTATGCTAATTGTGATATAAATTGTAAGTCAGTGACTGTTAAAGTGAAGAAAAAGTACTTACTCAATCAAAAGTATTGATTTATAACTTGCACTATATTTCTGACATTAAACCAAATGCTACTGATAGAGAGATGAATAAGTCATTAATCTTTTCATGGGATATTTGGTCTAGAGATCCAGACAGATGTACAATTGGTACATATGCTATGATATGAACTGCTGTATTGTGAAAATTAAGAAGGTTCTTTGATAATGCAAATGGAAGATCTTTTGACTTTGTCTAGGGCAAGACTGTACCTATCACTTAACCAGTTGATTAACAAAAATATGAACTAATTAACAACACATTACACTAACAGATTACCCTGAATTCCTAAAGTGTTGATACTTTCAATACATTTCAAAGTCTAGATTTGTGATATTAACAAAGAATTGACTGAAGGAAATCCAGTCCCTGCATTTATTTATACAATTTAACACTTATAAATTAGATGACTTAGAGAGTCCCCCAAGTAAGATGGGACTGAATAGCAGAATGGCTTTAAATGGATGAAGCGTCCTTGAAAAAATGAGTGGTCTGGAATAACAGAATAAAAGGATTAAAAATGACTAAAAAATTATCTCAAACGTGACCATAGTCTTTTAGTTTTGATCATTGATAATTTTTTTAAGGATAATGTAGGGTAGCCAGGGTGGCTCAGCGGTTTAGCGCCTCCTTCAGCCAGGGCATGATCCTGGAGACCCCGGATCTAGTCTCACATCAGGCTAACCTGCATGGAGCCTGCTTCTCCCTCTGCCTGTGTCTCTGCCTCTCTCTCTCTCTCTCTCTCTCTCTCTCTCTCTCTCTCTCTCTCTTTCTGTGTGTATCTCTCATGAAAAAAAATGAAATGTTTCTTTTTTTAAAAAAAAGGATAATGTAACCATGCATCAGCAAAATGAAAAGCAATCCTGATACTTTTTAAATTCATAATGTTAGATATACATTTTACAAGCAGTGAAATTATGAGAGTGTATCACATTACCTGAAATGTTTTGCTCACGTTGCTTCTTCAGTGCTCACTGTCCTAGTAACATCCCTCCTCATTCTGAAACCTGCCCTTTCATTCCTGCCCAATTTATCAACATGTAACCTATGGGAGTTATCTTACAAATATACAAACTCCAAAGTTGTTTAATAATTCAGTGGTTAGATGCCCTGAGTTCAAAATATGAAAATTTTAATGTACTCTAACTATATATATGTAATTGTTAAAGTTTTACCAAGTTATAAAGACCATTGTTACTGTTGATATTCATGTAAAGTTTTTTCCTAGACATTCAGATTGCAATATTTTAATAGTCTTAACAGTGTACTATTCTCATGATTTTAATTCTTGCTATTTTGCATCCAAGGGCATTATTTAGTTTCTAACTAAGTGATACATGAAGGTTATGGATCTTGGATAATGGTTGGTTATTTCAGAAAGGATTTCCCAAAATAAACATGATCAATGAGAATCCTTCCATGGGGATTTATAATGGGAAAAAATATTCCAATGGATACTGAAATATCTTGAACTAATGAATATGATTAATTTGGACAATTAGTATTTCTTCCTTATGAACTGAGATCTGGATAAAGACATTCTTAAACAAGAAATAAGAGAGTGAAATATGATAGAAAAAAGATAATGTGAAGCAAAAAGGTCTTAGGAAGTTCAGGTAGTATATTTCACTTGCCTTTCCCTTAGATCTCTTGAGACAATAAGCATCATAATGGTCCTCTTTTGCAATATTTTTTTCCTGAAACCCAAAGATTTCATATATAAAAAGATTTCATATATTTCATACCTGTTGGCATTTTTTTAAACTTCACTGGTTGCCACCAATTTGATTTATTAACTGAAAATATGCCACAGTGCTCTTTTTTGATAGTATTTCTGCCATGCATAATGATTGGAAAATATAAGGATAAATATATGAGTAAACTACCTAAGTGAGCCTCTTCTCCATGTTAGTTGCCCTTGATATTCAGGATAAGAGCCTTATAGAAGCCTTGCCTGAGCTCCTTGTTTTTGAATGCATACACTATGGGATTGAGGGCAGGAGGAATAACATTGTGTAGTACATTAAGCAGAACTGGGATGAGGGGAAGAGTCATTGTTGCACTGTGGGTAATAGAAATGACAACAATGACAGTGTAAAAGAATAAAATTAGGGTGAGATGGGAAGTACAGGTACTTAGGGCTTTGGATGCGGCTTCTGTTGAGTTCAACTTCAGCACTGAGTGGAGTATCAAAGCATATGATAAAAAAATCAAACCCAGGTCACTCCCCATCAGTGTCCAGGCCAGAAATAGCTGGTAGATGCTGTTGATGGTCCTGTCATCACAGGATAAGCTAGTGACTCCAAGATTAGAGCATAGACAATGCTCAATTTGGTTCTTGGAACAGTAGTGCCTCTGAGCAGCCAACACTGGCACTGGGATGGTGGCCAGACTGTTTCTGAGTGCCATGAACACAGTTGCCTTGATGACAAAAGAATCAGTAACTATTGATGGATAGCGTAGTGGTTGGCAAATGGCTGCATATCTGTCTATAGCCATGCAGACAAAGATACCTGACTCCATGAGTACAAAACAATGTATGACATACATCTGAGCAAAGCATTCAGGGAGACCGATGGCCTTTGCACTGAACCATAAGATGGCCAAAATCTTGGGCATGATGGTGGTAGCCAGTCCCATGTCTACCACAGCCAGGATCCCCAAGAAATAGTACATAGGCTGGTGCAGTGTGGCCTCTTGTTTGATGATGATCAGGATAAGGATGTTGGCAGTGAGAGCTAAGAGGTAAAGTAGTGCCAGGGGCAGGGAGAGCCAGTGCTGCCAGGTGTGAATGCCTGGGAATCCCAACAGAATGAACTCAGAGACTTGGGACTTCGAGATGTTGGAATGTCTAAGATCCTGGAGCATCCTTCACTAAGAGAAAAAAAAAGTATTTGAAGTTACTATTCTTAATAATCTCTCTGACATTATTTGGTTAATGATATTGAAGTGTAATATTCTTCATCTTCATTTTTCTTATTCTGCTACAGACATTTATTAGACATTTCTAGTGGCAGGAATCATGATGTTCCATAAGACAGGTCATATTATTTCTACCTTGTCATAATTGAGAAAGAGAACATTGGAGTTATTAGAAACTTGGTCATTACTTTCCATCTTGTACAAGTCATGGAGGGAACAAGATGAAAGCAATCTGATCCTATAGCCTGGGGTCTTAAGCTTGGTTTTGATAAAGAGTTGTAATTTTTTTAGCAACTAAAGGTATAGATTCAGAGTAGAGATTCTTACGCAGGGAAATATTTTTATAACAGATTAGATGAAAGAATATAAGAATATCCCTTTTGTAAAAATTCAAGTATTCAAGAATTTGTGAAATACTCATGAATGTTAGATAATTGTCATTAAAACATATGACATAATTTAGTACATCCATTTTTAAATTGGAGAACTGATGTCCAAAAATGCTAATGGACTGTCTAATGCCAACTTACTCTAAAAGATAGAAATATACCTAGAAACTTCCAGTATTTCTGAGTCCAGTTGATTCTGGTTTTGTGTAACATTCTTCCACTAGGACATACTTTGCTTCATAAAGCAGTTCAGCTGGTCACACAGTAATGAATAAAACAGATATGAAAAAAATCAAGTTTAAGATAAATGATTTGACAGAAGTGTTGTTATAATCAAATTACACTATAACCAAGACATTTTTCATCATTTATTAATATTTTAATAAAAAACTGAAAGAAGATTTTCATTATCTGTTTCTACTAAATATCTTCTATTTGTTTTCAATATTTCAAATCTTAAGGGCATAATATAAACACACAATAATTAATGTTGATAAAGACTAGTGGATATACTAATCTTAAACTATGTAATGACATTCCATATACTTAAAGAAAGATAAATTGAGAAATTATATATTTGTATTCCACTATTGTTTTCATAGCTTCTAAGGTTCAAACATTTTTTTTAATATCTTGCTTTGTTTTTTAACTTTAGTTTTGGAACTATTTCTCAAATGTCATTCAATGTTTGACTATTAATTTACACTTAATGAATAGGCTTTAGAAGGCTAACTTGAAATTCCAGGTGATGAGTGAGTATCATCAATTGGTATCATTTACTTTGGGAGCTTCAATAGGGACCTCTCTCAATGCAGATATTCTTAGTTCAGTGTTACATGTCTTTTCTCAGGGACTCTCCATTTGTTCAGAAAATAATCCACCAACCTGTTTCCTGCAGGAATATATGGCTGGTTGTTAGTGTTCTTGGAGTTGAAGAACACTGGAATTTCTCATCTTTATTATGAATATTGGATTTGACCTTCTCATTTTTTACAATGCTTCATTCTCAGCCTTTATCACATCATATATATGCATTTATAGCACGGTATTTGTGCCACAGATCCAAGATAGTCGGAGGCAACGAAATGAAGAAAGACTTGGTGTCTCACTGAATTTTAATATAGGGGACAGGGGGACTGAGAATCCGACTCGGACTCAGACCAGACTCGGGTTTGGACCCCGAGGTTTTGCCTCCTCCAGTTTTTATTGAGAGCTAACAGATAGGCTATAGGAATGATTAACTTGGGAAGCAGAGAAAAACATGTTTACTTCAAAAGGTAAAATAGGCTATTGACTCAAGGAGGGGGAGCAGAGGAGCTGTATCTGGAGAACAATGTGGTCTAGACTCAGTGTGCTGACTCAGAACCGCTCATATCTCCAGGGTCCCTAGAACTAAGAGATTCAGTTCTCAGGTAGGCTCTGCAGCTGGTTCTCCACATATTTGTTAAAGTCCCTTCCCAAAATAAGCTTCTAGTCATCATTAGAAAATAGTTAATATTGTTAAAGATAGTGAATGTATCAGATTTACCAAGTTGTTCTTTTTTTTTTCTTTTTAGTTTGCCATGGGCAAGTTTATTACATGATTAAAGTTCAAATAAAAAAATAATAACAATATCTAGGAAGCTAGAGCCAGAGTCTGAGAGTGTTGTTTCCCTGTTCCCTGCCTTCCTAGCCAAGTCTAACTCTATTAACTTAATTGATTCGATCAAATTCCTCATCAAGACTCGCTTCTGTGCCCCGGACATTAGTTTTTCTACCTATATCTTTATTCTCACAAAGAATGAAAGAGAGATGTCTGGGTAGCTCAGCAGTTGAACATCTGCTTGTGGTTCAGGGTGTGATCCCCATCAAGGGATCCAGTCCTGTATATGGTTCCATGAGAGGAGCCTGCTTCTCCCACTGTGTATGTCTCTGCCTCTCTTTCTGTGTCTCATGAATAAATAAATAAAGTCTTAAAAAAACAAAGAATGAAAGATTAGATACTTCAGAAAGCAACACTTTTGGAAATAGCAATGCAACACAAGGCAAACTAATTAATAAGAAAGTTCCTTGAAGATCATTCTGGTGTCATCACAGACTCATGCAGGGGTAGATAGAAACTGCAACTAAACTAACTTTTGGAAATCAGGAAATCTTTCAAAAGGGAAGCAAAACTCTTGAACATGAAACATGATTAGGATTGTTCCAGATAAGTGATTCGTTCCATTGATGTTTGCCCTTTCTTAGATCACTCTAGTAATATTAGCTTTGTGATTTGGCAACCCTATATTGTGTGTCCTTCCACCACCAAATCCAGCTTCAATTATTATCTTCTTCAGAAGGACTCAACTCGCTCTCAGAAAGGACAGAGAAACATTCCTTAAATCTTCTTAGTATGACATAATTGGAAAAGTGGCCAACTTTATGGGTAAGGAATACGATTTCTGATGGACCAATCTCTTTTATGTATTCTAATATCATGGTATTGTAAAAACCTACTGATGTTCTTGAATCAGCCACAGTTTAACCAAACACTTGATATTTGGACATATTGTATTGATACTTGTATTTGCAGTGTCTAGCAAGTTTTCATGCACATATTAGATATCAACAGATGTTTTTGAGTGAGTAAACAAGTTAATGTAAAAATGAATCAAATTATCTAACAGACTTCAAGAATTATTATGCTGTTGTCTAAATATTATTTTTTGCAAAGCATAAAAGGAACCACAAGAAGAAATAGAACTATGATGTCTACTTCATGCAACAGAAACTTAAATTCATAAAAAAAAATCTTTCATAAAATAGATAAAACAAAGAAAACCCCCCAAAAAAACAAAGAAAAATAATGCAGAGAAAAAAATACATTTTGGATTAGACAAAAAAGTCAATTAAATAAATCGTGCTATTAATTGGTCATATTACATAATGATTTTTATATACACACACAATTTACATATTTAAAAATATGCATATAAAACAATAAGTTATGCACAGATATTTTCAGGAAACAAAACACATACTAACATATCAAACACATAAATTTGGAAGGAAGTATCAATGTCAGACAAAATAGAAAATAAAAACATAAATTTTGGATAAAAATCACCTTTGAGAAACAGTAGATCTACTTTGGAGTAGATCGCCTCCAATTCAACTTAGAACTAACAACAACAACAAAAATCTTACTACTCTCACCTTTTAATATTATTTTAATACCTTAGTTTCTGGACAGCAAAATAGTAGGTTGAATGCCATCTGGTCCAGGTGTTAAGGGTATTGGTAAAAACAGCACAATTCTACAATATATGTACATGCACAGTCCTAAACCTCTAAATCCCTTGATATCTATATTACTGAACTGAATCTTTAAAGAAAAATGTCTATTATATATCCCAGGGGGCTATTATACAACATCAGAGACACAAATGCTGATATGAGACTCTAGTCACCCTCTCTGAGGAGGAAGATGAGTGGAAACTTTACATTCTTGTCATGTGTAAGATGATAGATACATAAATAATAATTTTCTATGCATGTGTCTATATCTGTTTGCTATGTATGAGAATTACATATGGAGAGGATCAGAATAAATACAGCCGCATTTAATTAATGAATGCTACCAATTTTAATATTGATTGAGGAGTTGTGGTTGTTTGTCAGGCCAGTAGGACAGGAGTTGAAAGTACTTAAAATTTATCATAATGTTGCAATCCCTCTCATACACATTCATACACATGTTTCTTTATTTGATTTAAAAAAATAAGATTGATGATAATTTCACGGAATTGTAGAAATTCATTAAAAGTTTGGGTTAATTAAGCTGATACATTGTTAGCAATATGTAGGCACCAAAGTGTTTTTTTTTTTTAAGATTTATTTATTTATTTATTTATTTGAGAGAGAGAGAGAGTTGAGAGAGAGAGAGAGAGAGAGAGAGAGAGAGCCAGCTGGGTGAGGGGCAGAGGGAAAGGAGAGAATCCACAAGATTCTCCACTGAGGGCAGAGCCCAAAGTGGGACTGGATCCCAGAACCCTGAGATCATGACCTGAGCTGAAACCAAGAGTCAGCTGCTCTACTGAATGAACCTGAATTCTGAGATAATAATGATAAAAGTGCTTATAAGGGAAATAACAAAACTAAGTAATTTTAGTATTCCTTTAATTTAATAATAAAAGTAATGCCTGTGTTTTTATTAACTGGAAAAATAAAAATGCATTTTGAAGGAGATAATTTGAACTAAAATTAAAAAGAGTGGAGGTAACTTCTGATACATTTCTTAACAAATATTTGCTATACACATTTTTGAAAAAAGATTTAGACAATATCATATTAAAATGTAGAGTCTGCAATTTTCAATTGACATTTAAAAACAAGTGCATTCGAACAAAATTATTCAGTAATATAATTACATAAGAGTGTATCATATGTATTACATGATTTATTTATCGAGTTTCCTATTCTTAGACATATATATCATTTACATTGCAGGAAATAATACAATAATTACCTATGTAGAGAACAATTTGACAGTGTTTTTAAATTTTATTTTATATTTAATTGAGGTGAAATTCACAT